AGGGCCTAGACGTGGGTTGTGGTTTCCCAGAAAAAATTAAGCAGTAGTCACCTCACCTCTTGCCTTACAGCATTATTTCAGATGGACAAATGCTATCAGAGAGGTGGGTTTTACTCATGGACGCCACAGGCTAGAAGCCCCATTTCACGCGTGTGTTGCTGTAGGTGGACGAATCATACATGAATGAGGGCAAAGGTTCTGACTTAGCACAGGCTGTTTCACATGGAGTAAGAATGGCATTCTGCTTGGTCTTTACTTACACTGCTTTTCTAAGAACAGTGTGACGCCCAGCACAGTCAGGGACGTTCGCCTCAGACTAGGGGAACTTGTCTGTCATTTCAAACAGCTCGAGTCTGACTGGGTTGTGCTTATGCCACCCTTCACCACTGCAGCTCCAAGGCTTGCAACAGTGCTACTTATTTCTATGGATTATTATTTTAAATATCTCATTTCTTCCAAGTACAGAAGTATTTGGGAAAGTAGCAAGAACAGAAAAAACTGCTTGCTGCTAATTAACCAAGTAAAACAAATGCTGTTGGACTGGTTTAAAGGCCTAAAGCAAACCTACATACATCATGATGTGATTTCTTCTAATCTCCAAAGGCTGCCTGGTGTTTTTATATTGCTGGCAAGGTTCCTTAAGTCTTGAGAATCTCAGTTTTAATTAGCATCGCCATTACTGGCTAACTGGAAGGGCCAAGAGAATGACTCTGCTTGTCACTCAACAGAACTGCTTAATGCACCCGTGGTATTGTATCAGTGAGACAGTCACACCAGGGACCTCCTCTTTTACCTGGACAGCTGCTGCTCTGTAAAAATAACCCTGCAGAGTAATTGTTCAAAGAATACTGTACATGAGTTGTCCTCATGCTTAGAAAATACACGCGGAATTATTTAGGTGTCAAGAGGCACAACACTTGCAACTTATTCTCAAATGGTGCAGAAAAGTGTGTGTGTATGTGTGTGTGTGTGTAAGTAGACAGATAGAGAATGGGAAAAATGAAGTACAGTGAACATGATGAAATGATCATATTTAGGGGATCTGAGTAAAGGGAGTGCAGAAATTAGTTTTTTCCAATTCTTTTGCAAGTCTGAAACTAGAAATTTCAAAACATTTTTTAAAACGTAAAAAGGACCACTGTATCGACCTTGACAATGAAATCACCATCAAACTCTAGCCAAGATCATGACACTGAAATACAGACAGCATGACAGCGGGAGGAGGGCTCCCGACTGCACCTTCTCACCCAAGAGGCGCCCACCACTGTCCTCAGTACGCTTATTCTCTCTGGCTCTTCCTGCAAGGAAGACAACGTCTGGATAAAAGTTATTCTATTCTTTCCCTCTCTCTTTGATAAAGTAACCATAGTAATGTCCCAGGAAAGGCCATCTCTGAAAGACAGGCCCATTTTCAGAGTGCCCCACTCACCTGTTGATGCTGGCATTTTTCTTCATGGTAACTTGGTAAATATAAATAATAAATGAAATATATAGAAATATATAAAATATATAAGTATAAAGAATTGTACACGTTGTGTGGCACTTTGGCCTAAGGTGAACTTCGCCAATGTCACTCTGGCAATTGGGAAGATTACTGAAAAGATCTCCCACTATGGGAAACCTGAGTCCTCTGGATAAACCTGGGGCTCTCCAGTGGTACAACATCTCTATTCTTGTCAGGATGTCTGTGACTCTGGAATAACCAATCACTGGAGGTTCACAAAATAAATAAATAAAACAAAGAAGATAGATTCCTGATTCTATAAGCACAAACGTGGTATCCAGAAGTACTCAGGAAATAACTGTGAGCACGTGAAGTCCTAGAGCTGGCATTTTGCAATAAGCTAAGATTTGACGCCATGGGACCCAGGAGTCGTACAGCTAACCGGTTTACAGCTCCCTGTAAATCCCAGGGAGATTGATTTCACCAGTGCTTGCTAGAAACTCGCGGGCACACTTTGCTGAGACAGACAAGGTTCCCCACCTAGGCCTCTGAAAAGCCGCCCTGAGACAGATTCTGGCGCTGACCTCCCAGGCACAGTGAGTCAGGGGCTCTGGCCACCATGCTGCCTGTGTGCTTTTCAGTGGCTTGTGAGGCTTATGTTGCTGCATCCCTCTTTGAAACACCAAAACCACCTGTCAGAGAAGGCTCAGCTCTGTATTTGATCTGTAAGCCCTTTGGCTTTTCATCCGGTGCTGGGTCAGGGAGCCACACTTTTTACTGAGGAAGCTGGGAAACCACATCCTGAAATAGTGTTCATTTGTGGTCAGTTCTGCGTGCTGCCTGGGTTCCCATGGCATCTCTGCAGCTCTGACTAGGGTCACTTTCCTCTGTCCTAAATGTCCTCTTTGCCTGAACTGTTCTTGATATGGCAGGTTTGCTACAGCATGATGCCCTTTCATGAAAGGCCCCTTACCTGGTACCAGAGCCAAACTCTCCTGCTGAGCACATCAAGTGGAGGAAGGATCAGGAAAAGATGAGCTCACAGGTGGTTCTGTGCTGCCCATGCAGGGACCAGAACCTCCCCACTTAGCTCTCTGCCCCGAATGAACGCCTGGCACTGCTTGCTTCTAACCTCTTTGCCATGTGTCTTCCCTGTTGCCCAGCTCCTTCCCTGTGTTCCTCCTGGTTTCTTCTCTTGTGCACTGGGCCTTGGGCAGGAGGAGCTTGCTCTACACAGATGAGTCGCTTCTTCCATCTGTCTGGAGCTCTCCCAGCTCTAGGGCCCCTGTTTTCAACTTCTGCTTCTGTTTGTGTTTGGAGGCTATTTCTTTACTCTTTTTTGGAGACAGGGTTTTGATATGGAGCCCAGGTTGGCTTCAACATGATCCTCCTGCTTTAGTCTCCAGTGCTGGGACTACAGGTATGCGTTAGCCTGGTGAGGTCGGGGGAGAGGGTATTGTTTCTTTACAGCCAAAGGCAATTTATTCTTCCTTTTTATTTTAACCAGCACTAAATTTAAAAAAAAAAGAACAAAAAACAAACAAGCAAAAAGTAGCACTCCAGGAAATAAAAAATTAAATACTGCTCCTACCTCAGCTGTCTGCTATGCGAACCACTTTGCCTCCAGTGACTTCCATGGCCCACAGGGAACAGCTCATATTTTTGGCTTCCTGAGCTAAAAATTACCTTTGGTTTTTCCTACATGTGAATTTGGGGCCAAGTATCCATCCATGAAAAGTGGGAAACTGCAAATAAGTAATTTCTTCTGAAATCAAGGTGAGAAGAAATAGGAAAAAAGAAAGTGTGTTTATGGTCAGCATCACTGCCCCTCATCTCTATCTGGAAAGTGACAGACAAGTAATTGTGGTTTGTTCAACCCTTAAAGTAGGGTCTGCTGTTCCTGCCAAGCAGCAAGCTGTGTTTAGGATGCTATGGCCTACCTTTCACATTTAATTCAAGAAGACAAATAAGTACAGAAAGCAGAAGGGAACACAGAAAATCCCTGCAGGAGTTTTCTGCTGAGGCCATCTGCAACACCATTTATCCCCCTGCCCTCCTCTCCCCAGACCTCCCAAATCAGATTTCCTGCCCTGAAGAAGGTCCCCCACATCCACAGAAGCTAAAGACAGGGTGGGGACAGCAGATACACAGGGCCTATCTGAAATGATGAATCAGGAGAAAGTCAACTGACCTGATTACTTTTAGCTTGTCTTCAGTCTGTGCTAAAAATGTCTTAGGAAAATAAAGTCAAGCGGGCTCATCACCAGCAGTTTTATTCTTGGACCAGAGGACACATAGGCACTTTTGATAAGGAGGTTGCTGTCTGAGAACAAGGCTTGTATAACCCTGCCACCTCAGGGTTCCCCTTGACCTGCTCATGGGTCACCCACCAGGGACAGATTTGGATGGAATTAGCAGGGTGGATGCTTCTGACATTGACTAGGGGATAAAGCAGCTCTCACTGCAGTCTCGAGAGGCAAGTGCTGGGGTAGCAGCCTAGCACTGGATAAGAAAGGCCGGGTTGACAGGCGTGGATTCTGCGGCCCTTAGAAACAAAGTGCAGGGGCATACAGATGCCCTGGGCACTGCAAAGGGGTAGGGGGATTCATGAGGAGGTTGGCATCTTGAAGACATTCGGTTTATCTTGAGAGATACAACATGAAGAAGGGTGTAGTTCAATCCCCAGTGTAAAAAAAAAGTAAAATTAAATTAAACAAAAAAAGAAGGGTGCACACTGGTTATTAACTATCAGACCCAGGTGTGGGGCTGTCAATGAGACGGAGCAATGATGCAGGGGGAAGGACACGGGCTCTGTCCTGGCTCCATCACCTGGCAGCTCTGTGTCCTCCTGTAAGTCACTCAGTCTCTCCGCACCTCAGTTCTCTCAATTGTAAACTTGGGACAATAATATCCTCTCACAGCAGTGACAGGAGGATTAAATGGAATTAATATTTTGTAAAGCACTGAGAACAGGCCCTCGTGTGTAGCATTTGTTAAATAAATGGAAGAAATGGGAATCGGAAGAATCCGGATAAAACCGGCAACGTGAGGCCTGGCAGTTGCCATGTGTCCTTTGTCACCGACACGGTAGCCAGTGGGAGCTGTGCCCAGCCCCTGCCTGTGATCTAGTAAAGATGGATGTATGTTTCAGAGCCCCATCGGGGCAAGGCAGATACAGGAAAGTCAGAGGCAGATGTGAGGCCTGAGTCCTGCCGAGGATCTAGGCAGGGTGAGGAGTATGGCTGGGCTTGGTACGGTGGCCTGAGTCCAGTCTCCTGCGCAGACCCGCCCTGGCTCTCTTAATGGTCTGAGGCTCTGCAGCTGCCTTATTAAGGGCAAGGATCACAAGGCTCCCCATCCTCTGTTCTTATTCTCCAAACGAAACAGGCATCTTGGCTGCTTAGACTCCAGGACTGAGGACAAGGGTGGTACTTGGCTATTTTCCTCACCGTGCTGAAGCCAGGGCTTACTGATTTCCTTTCTCTGATGGAAAGCGTAGATAGGTCATAACCAGAATTTGGGAAACCCAGGACACAGGCTGCTTTTTTGGACTCACCACTTTGGGCTTGAATGGCGGTTGGATCTCCCTGTTCTCCAGCTTCTCCCAGTCGATCCTCCGGAAGAAGGCATGCTCTCTCACATCTCTCTCTCCTTCGGGCCCACAGCCCAAGCGCTTGGCTGGGTGTTTGGTCATCAGCTAGGGCAAAAGGAGGAAGTCAGCAGGCTCGACAACAGTGGATTCCCAGAGACAGTGCCTTCCCTCGGCCTGGCTATGCCTCCAGCCCTGGTGGTGGGACCGACAGGATAGTGATAGGAACCTTATCAAGAAACTCCCAAAAACAACATGCCAAGGGGCTGCTATAAGGAAAATGTAAATCACTCTGAACCCATGGCCAGATGGAATCCAGAGATTTCATACACCACATGTTATAGACCTGTTGTTCTACATGTATACCTGGTAAAAAGGAATGTGATCACTAAAGATCATATGTGCTGAAATTATGGCAGACCAGCACCACGCAGGACACTATAACAAGCATCATAATCGATTTACTGTTTTGACCAAATATCAATCAATGCGTCTCAGATTAGAAAAACACATGCTGTAACAAGGAAGATGGCCAGTTAATTTCATCAGGCTACTGCAGTGCGGAGAGGCAAATGTTGCCCATGAGCTCTTCAAAGGTGGGATCCAGCTCCCCCTGACCTTAGCTCCTCTGTCAGCTGCACTGCTTTTCAAAGACAAAGTAAGTGCATTCAAACAACTGGACTAACCAGAAAATGTTAAAGAGTGTTGAATTTGAGCTAAGTCTGAAAAGAATTTTGTGACCTAGAACTTACCATTAAACACTAGCCAAGTCACAACCAGCATTCCATTCTTTCCTTGAAAGAAATGCGTTCATATATTCACCAAAACACAGGACCCAGAAGGTTCCCAGGAGTTCTATTTGCAAGAGTCTCAAGCTAAAGTAGAAACAACCCAATACCTGCCAGGAATGGAATAGGTAAACTGCAGTATGTTCACACAGTGAACACCACATGGCAAACGAAAGAAAGAAGAAACCACAATCACACGCAGCAGTGTGGCCACACCTGCAACTGCCATGCCGAGGGAAAGAAGCCGGCCCCAGGAGTGTGGGGCACTGCAAAACCCTATCTGTGCAGAGGTCAAAACCAGCAAGGCCAATCTGCGTAGTCAGAAGTGGGAATCCTGACTATCTTGGGGATGAGTCTGGAAAGGGCATCTAGGGTTCTACCTTCTGATCTCTTTGTATTTATTTATATGGGCACATTCATTTTGTGACGATTCACTGCTTGTACAATGACGGTTTGTGCCTGTTTCTGCAAGTATATCATGTCTCACAAACAGAGAACCCAACAAAGGACTAATTAAGTCAGACTAAGGGAGGCAGGAGATGAGAGACCAAGGACTTCTGGTCACTTTTGGTGACCTCATTACCACTCTACGAAATAGATTGGACATAGCTGGGCGGGACCACGAAAGGGTCAGGAAATACTGGTGTTTGAGTCCATTCTCGGCCTTCATTTGTCCCATTATGCCCCGCATGTCACCAAAAAGCAATGACATACATTTGTGATATTTCTAGTCTCTCTTAGAAATGTGTAAAAGCTCTTGTCCCTTGGTTCCTGATCACAGAAGGAACCCCAGTTTACTTACTCCTTTGCAGATGGAAACGGCCTCCTTGGACAAGGATTTGGGGTAGGAAACGTTGTGTTCCATTATAGACTGAAACAGCTCATCTTCATCTTCACCATCAAATGGAGGCTGCTCCGGCAAAGAAAAAGATGGGGAAATGTTTAGAAGTAGTTCAGTAACGCAGTGGCTGAAGATCCAATTCAGCATGGAGAAACGGACCTGGCTTCTTTCCCAGCACAGCACAGGCGGCAGAGTTAGCTCAGTTAACTTGGGGCTTAATTTGATTATCTTTAATTAGGCTGGTGGTTGTGTGTTTTTCACTCTTAACTCTGTCCCTTTAATTATCTTGCCCTGGGCCACCCAAAACAATCTTTAGAGAAATGTTTTTGAATAATGCTTTTAATGATTTACAAATGCATTATAATTAATCCATTAATCTTATAATCATGTGCTAGAAATCTAATTATGATGAAGTCAGGTTATAGATAGCTTTGTGTTCAGAAGGCTGGGGGTGGGTAGAGAATGCTCAGTGTCTTTACTGGAGGTGAAGAGAACTTCAGAACACGGGCAGAGAGGATGATCCTGGGCCCAGGAAACAACACTGTGACTTTGGATCTAACAAAGAGCTGCTCTGCGGGTGCCAGGTGCCTGCATGGCAGCAGTGAGGGAAATCGAGCTTCTCTGGACATGTCCTTTGACTCTTCTACTGGGTTAACAACCCCACACTGAGGGAGGACATCACGGCTTTGAGGTCAGGTGGATCTGGACCAGAATCCCAGTTCTTCTCTTCCTAGCTGGATGTCCACTGGCAAGTGGCTCACTTCTTTAATACACCCCTTGCTATAATTTTCTAGTGATTCTGCAGCACCTGCTACTGTGTTGTAGGCATTATGAGCTAAAGGATCAGTACTTGGTGGCTGTTAAGGAGGCAGGGAAGCCTCTGGGGAAGGACTGACACCCTGCCAACAGTCAAGCTGGAGCTCAAGATGGCCTGTAACCCTTTTCTCTAGCACATCTTTCTTAGCAAGGGCACTATCCAGTGACACGTGCTGGAGGAATGCACACAGGAAAAGCGGGGTCTGGGAGATTCCTCAGTGTCCCCTTTGGTGAGGCGAATCTTAAGCTTAGTAGGAAGGCAGACTGGGAGTATTTCCTGTTTAAAGTCAGACCCACAGGGGATAGGGGGGTCCCACGCCTACAGGGAAAGACGCCATGTCTGTAAAGATCCTTCCCTGCCCTGGGGCCAGTACGGGAGAACACAGGGCTGGGTAACTCCTTCGCCTTTCTTTGCCTAGTAAAAATAAATAGGTCTATTTTCCAGTCAGAAGTGTCTAGTGTGAAGAATACTCATGTGGTGGAAGCATGCAGGTGGGTGAGGAGAACTAAAATTAGCTGGTCTGCCAGTCAACGTCAGGCAGGGCAGCCTGCCACATTGTGTTGCCCTGGAGGTCCAGGCAGGTGAGCCATGGGTGGTGCTGGCTGCAGAGGGCCACCTGTGTCAGCAGCAGAACGTGGTGAGGCCCAGGTGAGGGCAGGGCTGTACCCGGCCAAGTTGCTGTGGTGCCAATTCTTCTGTACCTCCCACCATGCCTCCTCAGCCCAATCCTGCACCAGACTACTTCTCAATACCTCTTAGGTCACCCATGTGACATCTCATCTTCCCTGACAAAGGATCCAGAAACATGGCCAGGTTTTGTCTGATATTCTCTTAACTAAAATGAGCATGGTCTGAGCTCTGCCCTGGGGTGAGAGCTGCTCCCTCTGGGAGCACTAAGCACTCCCAAGGTGCACTGCGTCTTCCCAGGGTGCATAGTATTCCTGAGGTGAGCTGGGGCAGAGGCTCTGCTGCCCACCCGCCATTCGACATCTCATAACATGGCCCTTAGGATTTCTGGGAAAGATCAGCTACATTATTTGGATCCGTTATTAAAATATTAAGAATTTCAAGGTGGTGATGACAGAGCGTTAAACCAAACATGCAGCTCCTCGGAGCTTGGGCCTTGTATGGGTTGTGTGCTCAGGCAGCTGGTGAATGGAGTGTACTTTGTCGAGTGGTGAGAAGGGCACCCTTTGGAGATGCTTATGTACTGGCAGCAGGAATGAGTCTCAGACAATTCCAGTCAAAGTCCTAAGAGAAACTGTCCCCAAAGATGCTCAGGGGACCCTTCCTTCTGCAGGAACCCTCCCTATCTGAAGACGGGCAAGGACACTGTGGCCTTTCTTTCCCTGAATTATTGAAGACTAGGAATTGTTGAGAACAGTGACGGCCCTTCACACGCTTGACTGTTTCATGGCATAGAACCAGATTTGCCAGCTGAGCTGCCACACAGGTCTGATTTCTAAAATGGAAACTTCCGTGTGAGAGTTTTAGGTTTTGTCCACTGTGGGTCCAAAGAAGACTTTTACTATCAAGTCTTCTCTGTGCCCCTGGGAGGGCAACCTGGATTCTGACACACTCCAAAGAGCATGCTTTAGAGCCTCCATCCTGGGTCACAGTTTGCACCCCAGGTCACCATTTATACTTTCGAGGCCCTGACAACTCCTGCAGTAAAGAAATCTATTTAATTTGGTGGAATCCTTAGTCCCGGTTGGGAAGGATCCTCAGACGCTACAAGGTTGGTCTGCTGCAATAAACCACATTTCAAATTATGACAAAAGCCATAAGACCAAACAGGCCTGGGACAGAACTTCAAGATTCACCCGAGTTCCATCCCTGGTGGGACACAAGGGTTAGGGCTTCTCTTGTCATCACATCCCAGGGAAGGGACAAGCCTCTACTCTTGCTATTTACCTGCTGTGACTCTACGCTGGGAACAAGGAGGGGAAAGGTGGGTCTGGGCAGAAGTGGTGATAAGGACAATAGTGACACTGACCTCGGGCTCTTCCTGCACATCAGGCATTGCGGGTGGAGAGCGCTTTGTAGGCACCACTCACTCATCCCACAAGCAGGAGAAATCTCTGAGGCTCTGCCTGGTGGCTTGGCCAGGACTGTGGAAGAACCAGGATTCTGATCCAGGAGTGACCTCGGAGCCTGGCTCTTGACAGTCACAAGCCCCAGCCACATTTGCCCTAGAACCTTGGCATGGGAAGGTGACTGTGGGGCTGAGAGGAGAGGCTAAGTGGTGGCTCTGGCACCCACAGGGGACACTGCTGGGGGTGGTGGGGACGGGGGCATTGTCTTGGTGAATTTTAAAAGGCTAAATCATGTCCTGTACAAGATCAGTGCTAAGTTCTACAGATAAAAAAGGGGCAGCCTAGGGTTCCAATATGTCCCGAGTTACTGTGTGGAGAGTGCCTGGGCTCTGGGCTTGAGGCCTGCAAGATTTCACAGCCCTGATGGATTGATGGGATCTGTCAGCTTCCCTCACAGCTGCAGGTCTGATGCTTCCGGAATGACCTTCCTGGCTGAAGACGATGACCAAAGAAGGCAGATGAGGGAAGTGCTTTGGCACAGGCTCGGGAGGAAGTCAGCTCCTCTTCCAGGTCTGGAATGCCATCAAATCAAATGCATACTTTTTCCTATTGTTTCCTCTGTTGCTAAGATTTAGACTAACTTTTTCTTTTAATAAAATATACGTAACATAAAATTTGCCATCTTGGTTAGGGGTGAAGCTGTGTTGAACACTTGCCCAGCATGCACAAGGTCCTGGGCCCGATCTTCAGCACCCACCACCACCCCCAGTTCTAATGCTACCCACTCTGAAGTGTACAACCTGAGGCATTACATATTTTCACACGGTTACGCAACCACGGCCACCATCCATTTCCAGACTGTTCCACCTTTCCGGCTGAAGCTCTGCTTCTGTGAAACACAAACTCCTCATTCTCACCTCCTCCCAGACCTTGGCCACCATCTGTCTATGTTCTGTCTTTGAATGTGAGTACTCTGAAGTACAGCACCTCATATAAGTGGGATCTTAAAATGTGTGTCTTTTTGTGACTGGCTTGTTTCATGATTTGCATCTTAACTGTACCTTCAGGTATCAGTGAGGACATTCCAGGTCCTGCTATAGCAACAAACAATTTAGAACATCTCCAAAGCACATTTCCTTCCTTGCTTATGCTACATGTCTGCCACTGACAGTGGGTCCCATCCTGATGGTATGGGTGCCATCTGGTCTACTGTGGCAGAGAGAGGAACAGGCACTTTGGGGTGTCTTCCACTGGCACTAATGACCGTAACATTCAGAAATGCTCCCACGAATCCTACTATAAATAAAAATTCTGTAATATTGGGGGAGGGGAAGTCCATGAAAGCAGCATCCACATTCTATTCATCTAAGCATAAAAACCGTTCTTACTTTAAAATGGACTCTTAGACTTTCTGGCATTATTTTAAATATGATGTATAGTTTGGAGACCTTTACTTTTCACTGCTGCAAACTCATTTTCTCTGTGGTCACCAGTGCCCCCATTCAGAGCTGAATGCCATAGAGGCGATACATCATCACAGGCTGACTCATTTGTCCACAGGCACATTTACAATTGCTTTCACCACTATATTCTAATAACTAATGCTACTATAAACATCTCTATGCATAGCATTTTTTTCCTCTCTGAATTACTTCCTAACAGTGATGTCCCAGGTGTAGAATTATGTACCAAAGAAAGAGAATGTGTTTATACTCTTATGCTCTTGTTCAATCTCTCCAATTTACCCTGGAAGCCTTCCTAAGGTAACTGCTTGCTCTCTGGCCTTAATATTGAAGGCAGGTCAATGGTGACAAGTTATAACATATTCATTTTCATTGCCTGTCATGCTGTCAACTTAGTTTGGGGACAATGGAAGGGAAGGAAGAATGTGTTGCCCAGGTATGTAGTACATGACCATTTTAGGTGGCTTCCCTCCCTAACTTCCCCATTTCCAGAATTATTTTTTCATTTCTACAAAGCTGGACTCAGTGGGCCAAGCTAAGCTACCTATAAACAAGTCTTAGGTTTGTAGAAAATTTTTCTGAATGGGCTGTGTCTCTCACCCCGCCTTAGCACTATGTCATTTGTGAATTTTAAATGGGAAACCAAGGGGTGATGGTTCAGTGTACAAAATGATTCTTAAATCACTTCTTAAAAAGTGACGCTTGGACCCTGCCATATTTATTTTCAGATCACAGAGGCCCTGGGCTGGGGGCTGGGAGAGTACCCGTGTACCATTCAGGCCAATGTTCCAATTACGGAGATAGTGCCGATTACTGATTCATCGGGAATGAAGACAGAGCATAAATAACCCTGATAGAAAAGGACAAAAAGAGGAGAGGGCCAGTCCTTTCATGATGAATATCACAAACGCTTGGAGCAGCAATATGCTCATTAGAGGGCTGGGGAAGGACTATTTATGTCCCAAAGCAATCATATTTGTCCGGCAGTCCAGGAACTGAATTAAGACTTGGGCTGTTTATACTTAACTGCACCCTTGGCTGTGGACGATAAATAATGCAAATGAGAAGAAAATGGCCATAATTGTTTTTTCTCCTTATCTTCAGTCCTGTGTTAAGGAGGACAAATTAAGACCACAATCCCACCAACAATTTCAACATTAATCTTGCTTTTCAATAACAGCATCTATTACTTTTGCTAGATCTCTGCAGTTTCTGCAACTTTGAGGGGCCGAGGGTAATATTGGTAAAATCTTCATCATCCTTTTTAGGCTGACTCAACCAGAAATTCATTTAAATTTGCATTGAGTAGTGAGAGCAAAAGATGAAGAAGGGGTGCCTTCTGGAAGTCATTTTTTGAAGAACACCACCATTTTCAATAGGGCTCATGAAGACTTCAAAGGATGCATGCAGGGCAGGCCCACTGGCTCTGCCAAGCAGGACGGGAAGGATCGATACTGTGCCAGAATATTTGTAGAGCCACTGGGTGTGGGGAGCAGCAGTCCAGTGCTCTGCAGGAGCCCAAGCGAAGTGAGGCGTCTTCCCTGCAGGCTGGATATCACAACCGGGCCACAGTGTACAGGAGAACCAAGCAGGCAGGACTACAAAATGTACTTAAGGGGACCTCCTTTCCAGACCAGGGTGTTCCCTGAGCTTTCCCCTGGGATGGCAGCCCCAGGAAGACAGGATGCAGGCAGAGAGAGGAGAGGAAGTCAGGGCTGGGGAGGAGGGAGGATTTTCTGCAGGCTGTGTTCTGAAACTCCGGTCTCCTGCTGGCCAATAAAGAAGCAGCTCACATCGCCTACTGTAAAGCTCACTCAGAAGCGGAGTCTGCTTTTCTGTCCAACTGATTTCACTTGCTGGCTTATTCAAATACGACTTAGTGAAAACATGGCGTGTTTCTTGGGCTCAAGAGGGGAGCACTCTAGGGGGACCAAGGAGGGGCAGTTGGCTCCCAGGGAACTGGGAATCTAAGGTCCAATTTTATCGTCAAAGTTAAAGAGAGGGAATTAACTTCAAGTGTAGAAACTTGTGTTACTTCAGCTGTTGACTCAGGGACAGCAGCTTGTGTATGATCCACTTTTTTGTCTTTGTACACTGAGGTATTTGGACTCAGAAGAATGCTTTGAAAAAACCTAAACAAACAAACAAACAAACAAACAAACAAAACTTTGGATGTCAACTGAATCTTAACTGCTAATGAAAAGCTTTGCTTCTTTGTAAATAAGGAGGGGAAGAGGGGTTTAAGGGAGGGGCGGGAAATAGGGAAAGAAAAAGACAATGGGAAACAGATCTTTTACAAATGAGAAGGGGATCTAGTGCTAGAGAAGGGAGGGAAGGAGAACTAAAAAGAATTAAGATGTGTTCTGTCCATGCACCGACTCCCCACAGTAAATGTAATCATCATATACAGTGAACATGTACTAATAAAACTTTAAAAAAACCTGAAAAATAATGACCAAAAGTAGGCCAGTACTTTATATCTTTTAATATCTAAAATAACATCTAGCATTTAAGGGACAGGAAACCTTACGATGGGGAGACAGGAGCGGTCGTCAATGGCTTCCACCCGAGAATGAAAGCCGGGGTCCTGTGTGACCGCTGTGCTCACCCGGAGAACTGCTACCGTCTGGCCCCTGCCTCCTACTCCAGACGGTTCACTCGACTGTAGCCACACAGACGGCTTCCCCTGTTTCTTAAACATGGCCCACTCTCAGCTCCGGGCCTTTGACCTTGCTGCTCCTCTGCCTGGTGAGTTTCTTCTCTAGCCACGTAGATACGTTCCCTCATTTCCTCTGGTCTTCATTTTATATCCTATGGGAGGCCTTTCTTGGCCATTTTAGTTAAAGTTTCAACCCTCTCCCAACACAGTATCTGCTTTTCTGACTTTTTATTTTTTTCCTGAGCTTGTCACTAACGTATTACATTTCTAACTAGTCTATTGTCTCTTTCCTTCTGTGCCCCGTAAGCTTCATACAAGTGAGTTCTGTTTTGTTTATTGTGTGCACACACAATGAGCATTTAGTAAATAAGTAAAGCTGAGTTGATGGATGCAGCAGGTAAGACAGTGACTTTTCCCCCTTAGAAACCAAAACAAAGATTTTTTTTCTTCTTTTTTATTTGGCTGGGGATCAAATCCAGGGCTTCGCACACATTGCTCTACCACTGAGCTACACAACCCCTCCCAGCTAAATGTGAGGGCAGCTCTGCTGTTGAACATCATTACTTCTGTCCATCCTCTCTTCCCAAGACTCTTAGCTATGGAGGTGAGATTCTTTACTGCTAGTGTTTAAATTCTGGGAATTACAAAAAGCCACCACCAACAATAATAGAGAGCTGATGACACAGATATTAAAATCGTTATATTAGAAAGTATCACCTTAGGCAATAATGCGCTTGGTTCTCCAATAAGAAAATTAACTGTAAGTTCAGCCTTGCTGGACTTGGTTGAAAATTACAGTGAGAGGGTGAGAGAGGAGGGTATGGGGAGGAACTTAAAATGCTTCCCGAAAGTAACAGTCTTCTTCCTTAGTAATATCACTACTTTACACATGAGCAGTGTCTGGGGCAATCGCAGACGAACTACCTGGAACCATAACCCAAGCCCACTTTGGTGATACTGAAAACTTACGTAGGCTGTCACCATCATCAGCACGCAGGGCCTTTGCGTACACTGTGAAGCTACAGTGTTCACACTGCAGGCTATAGCTTTCCATTCGGAAATGTTATGCCCTGACGGTAATCTCTATGCATCCTAACTGGATACAGCCCACTCTCAAAGGAGAATTTCTTCCTCTTTTCCCTTGGGTCAGAAAAGTCAGACCAAGTTTAGCCAGTGACACTGTTAGCTCCTGCTACTGCTGCCCAAGAGAGCTGATGCACTCACACGGTACAGCAATATACAAACAGGAAAAGGTAGCGAGACATTACCTGTCCAGCCAGCATTTCGTAGAGCAGGACACCATAGGCCCACCAGTCCACAGACTTTCCATATGGCTGATAAGCAATTATCTGTATACAAACAAACAAATTAGTTATATTTAGTGGTAAATCAAATAGCCCCTGTAAGAACAGGTAAGTCGAGCAGGTAGACATGTGAACATTCAATTCATACAAATGTGGTGGTGAAAAGATCTGTCTCTGGTTTCTACAGCGAGGGAAAATGACCCTTCAAATCTGACAAATAGAATTACGGCCCACAATTCCTGTCCAAATCCTGCTTCTAGACTCTTCTACATCTACCTGGAGACATCACAGAACTGTCTTAAGGGACAGAGTTAATTATCCTCACTAGTGAAAAATATTTGGATACTGAGGGGAAAAAAACCTACAGGTCAGTCAGAGGTAGGGTCTGGTAATAAAGTGATCAAGCTATGAAACTGAGTTTTGCTAAGAGTAATAAGGACGAGGATGCAGAAGATTATGAAGAAGACAAAGACATAGATAAAGAACAGGGGAAGAGGAAAGAGAAAAGGAAAAGAAAAAGAGGAAGAGAAGGATGATGAGGAGGAATGACTAAAATAAAAATTCTATTTGCTTCTGTTGCACATAGAGGTACAATACAATTCAGTCTGTTGAATGACTCTTATTTTACCTGGACCTTATTACTCGATTCAAACCAAACAATATCCTCAAGGCAACTGGTACAAACTAAGACATGGTGTATGTATCAGCTGACATTTTAAGGGACTTGTTAATTTTGTTTAGCTGTCATGAATAGTATGATGGCTAGTTAAAACGTCCTTTTCAGTTAGAGATGAGTGTATTTATGGATGACATGTATGAGAGATAATGTATTTTTGGGTGGAATGACATGATGTCTTCAATTTTTGAAGTATATTTCAGAAAAAGAAGTGTGCATGTGGGAAATAATAGATGTCATGAGTCGGCAAAATGCAGACAGCTGTTGAAGCTGGGAGATGGGCCATTCTATTTTTCCTTTACCTTTGTGGCTCTCACAATCAGCAGAATAACTCTCCAACCTCCCCTGATGGAAGAAAGTAATACTGATTTGAATTTCAAAGTGTGGCATTGCTTATTAAAACTTTTCTTACCTCTCAGGCAGGCCGTGTAACTAACGCACACAAACCTGACCCAATGATCATAGCCCAGGATTCGAGGTGATGCCCAGTACCCAGCACAACTATTCTGCCTTCTTAGTACATGGCTTTCACTTTGAAATGTTCTATTTTTTAATAGCCCAGACTGTCTAAGTAAATGTCCTGAGACAGAAGAAAACTTTCTGCATGTCAGTCCAGCCCCCATTTCTTTAATGTAGTTTGAATATTCTCCATCTATCCTGGGAAATACAAGCCCTGGCGGTTTGTCTGTGTGTGGGCACCAACAAGGAGGTACCCGTTTGGATTTGGCAGCTTTGCAGCACGTTTCCTTAACAAGGAAACAACTCCAGGACACTACAAGGGATCCTTAATTTCTTTCGCTACACTCGTTCTTTTCTGAAAACTTAGAAAATACACACACATACAACCCACCAAAATTAGTTTTCAGTCTGTTACTCGGGGATGATGTACAGTACTCTGGTATCCAGACGAGAAATTTCTCATCGAAGGAGCTGCATAGTCTTACAACCTTTGATATGATGGCAGATTGTCCTCCGAGGGTTGGGTTAGATTTATATCCCTACTTGATGCCAGTTTTGTATTTGAAACACTTGGTAAACACTTTTTTAATCTTATTTTTAGTTATTTTAAATCCCATAAGCTACTCAGAGTCACTAAAGATAAATGAGAAGGGGGGAAAAAGCTAAACAACAAAGAGATTAAATTTGCTTATAGTCTTACCACTTAGAAATAATAATATTGGCATATAAAAATCTTTATATCATTTTTTCTAGGTGTAGTATGTGCGCATACATATATTTAAAAAATTGGTTATTCCAACCTACTAGTCTATAGTCAGTTTATTTAATAACAGTTCCTGAGGATCTCTACAGAACCTTTGACTTATTTCCAGAGGATACGTTCCTCTAAGGAGAACTGTTGGGTCAAGATAAGTTTTTGACCTTAACAGTGGAACTTCTCAGATGCACTGGCAGGTTACTTCCTAGAAGTAGCACATGTGCACTCTCTCCGGCACCAAGCATGCCTGTGCCCTTCAATCCGCCCTCATGAACAGCGGGTGTCCCCACTGTTTCCAAAACGTGCCAACTTGATGACTGAAAGTGGGATTTTGATGATCTTTTTACTGGCTTTTTGTTCACATTTTCACATGGGAATTAGTTGCCTCTGCTTTTTTAGTAATCTGCCTAAGTTCTTTCCCTAATTTTCTATCATGATCATTTCTTCCTTCTTTCAGAGATGATATGAGGTGCCAGGGATAAAGCAGAGAACAGACAAGGCCTCCACACTCACCATGATTATGTGGATACTTGCTTTTATTTTTTTACTGGTTAACAAGAGCTCTTTCTATCTTAGGATATTAGATCTCTATAGTAAATTTTATAGAACTAGTGTTCCCAATTCATCAGTTACTGCTGTTTTGTTTATAGTATTTTTGATGTTCAGAAAGAAAATTTTCTTTAAATCCTATTTATTGGTACTTTTTAAGTATACAGTACAGTAGAAACAAAAATTTCTTAATAGAAAAACCTAACAAATGTTTCTGGTGTGTGTCAACCTCTAAAGTAACAGTAGAAATTCCTTTCCTCAATGGTAAAACACTTAATATGATTTATTATAATTCTTTTTATAGGTTTACTTTTTATATTTAGCCCTTTATTCTACCAAATTTTTTTGGAGCATGACATGATTAAATTTCTTCCAAACTCTAACTTTTTATCTTAGCATAATTTAATAGATGATTCATCCTTTCTTGAATTACTTTCGTCCCATATGAATGGATGAATCTGCTCAGGCCTCTCTTTCCTAGGTGGTATTTCCATGAGGCCCCCTAGTGATACCAAGGAAGACCCTTCCTGAGCCCACAGATGAAGTTGTTGCCTGCTTTACATGTCCATAGGATTGTGTCTGTCCCTTCACAGCCCTTCCTAGGACTGTAATAAATCTGTAGCTACTTGTTGAAAGGGTCTTCCCTGGTAGATGACAACCCTGACCCATGTTCCTTCTTGTAGTCTCATCTTAGCAAATGCATGATCATGGTCCCGGGGAACTTCACAGTGTTTACCCAACACCAAACATTAGCACAGGACTTCACTGACATTGGATCACGTGATTTTTTTCAATAATCCTCTGGAACAGATACTATATCTGTATTATATAAATGAAAAAACTGAGGCTAAGACTGGTAAGGGAGCTGTTCAAGGTATGTCTGATCAGTATGGGGCAGAACAAGAGTTTGAACTGAGGGCTTCCTGTTCTGGAATCTGCTCCTTGCAGCTGCTCTACAGAGTTGAGCTGGAACTACTGGCAGCTGGATGGGACAGACTTCAATGGGAGGCAGCTGAGGGCCGAGCCACACAGGGGAAAGTGGTAAGCCTGTGTTCTAGGACTGGTGTCTTCTTCTCCAGAGTCTTTCCTAGGGTTAGAAACATTTAAACACCACTTCCAATTTAATCAGAAACAAGGTACTAATTTGAGGACACCATTATTCTTTGTATAAGCCAGGTGGGCAGCGAGGAGGCTTGACTGAGCCAGGCTGGCACCAACTGTAGTTACTGGGCAATTTGGTTTCTGTTTTGTTTTTTTCACTGAACAGAAAACAAAGCATGTTTATACTATATAAACACAGAATGACTATATAATTTTTCCCATTGCTTAGATTAAAAATTCAAGAAAATTTAGCGAGTGTCAGATGAGGTTTTATTTTCATTTTATTTTTGGCCTTAGGGATCAAACTTGGGACCTTGTGCTTGTGAGGCAGGCGGCAGAACCACTGAGCTAAATCCTTGGTCCAGGACAAGGTTTTAAATGGAGGTTTTCCTACTCTAGTACTCTACGTTTAAAGATTGTGTCATATTGTTATACAGGAGACATTGCCACAGTATACGTTTAAGAAATATTTGTGTAATGAATAATGAATAAATGATTGGACAAGTGAATGAATTGACAAATGAACTTACATATACTTGGACCTGTTTCTTATTTTTCTATCTGTTTCTATAACAGCTTTCTCTCTATTTCCTCCATCTACGTGGCAGATGTTATGCCCACCAGAAATATGTAAGTGTGAGCGGAAATCTAAAGTGCTCTCAAGAATGGAGGCCACTCATTCCACTCATGGGAAACCCTGCCCATCCAGAAAGACTAGAGCAGTGATGGCGAACCTTTTAGAGCTTTCAATGATACAAACAGCCCGCTGAGGCAGCACGCCACAGGTTTGCCACCACTGACTAGAGCAATAGATTTTTTTCTTGGAGTCTATATGAAGCTATAGACACATTAAAAACTAGTATATAGTTTTAGACAAATGATTAGTCTTTTCCCTTAATCTTAGTGGGAAATCTGTAATTAACCAAACTTGGAAAAAAATATATATATTTGGTACCAGGGATCAAACTTGGGACCTTGTGCTTGCAAGGCAGGCAGCAGAACCACTGAGCTAAATCCCTGGCCCTTGAAAACATTTTTTAAAAGACTTGAATCAAAGGATTAACGAGTGCAACTTTTTTCTTTAAAATATCAAGCCCTATTAAACCAATGTCTTCATTCAGGGCTGTTTTCTATAACACGATTCCATGAGCATGGGGCAAATTTTCATAAACACACTTCTCTCACATGTTCTGCCCATCAGTAAAGTCTGCTTCTAACTGATACAATCAAAGACACACTTGTGATGTCAAGTGGGAAACGTGGTTTTCCTCAAGCAAACACTAGCAGGGGAGAAAAAGCTGTGTCATAGGCAACATTGCCCTTAGCTTTTCCACAAAACCCGAACTGACTAATAGGAATTCTCTTTTGGAGAGTTAACGTTCACTTGATGAGCAGCTATTATATGTGAGATGCTCTACACACACCTCATGCCATCTGATAAGGTAGAGATTATTATAATTTCTCTTCAACAGAAGATAAAACTGAGGTTCATACAGTTAATAA